GAGGTTATACACACACAATACGGTAATATTATGTTGAAGCACAGTACGTATCACTCCGCGAGGCTCCTGCCTACGATAGCCGTAATGCTCCGACAATCCATCAAGCGGTGTGGCTTCGTAACTTAACAGAGTCGTACTAAAACATTTGACAGATTTTCCAGCGCCGTGTACCAAATGAAATCGTTTCGAGGTCAGTAAACACAACCAGAATTCATACATAAGGCACACGGGATTATAAGGGGCACTGTCGATTTTCAGAAAAATCAAAGGATTGATTTTAAGTGTTCCGTATGTGCCAAAAAACACGGTAATAACGACGGCCTGCTAGCATGCACTACCAAAAATAGTGCTTTGTTGTGTATCTTACGGACGAAAGCTAAACCAGTTCCACACCACTGAAGTTGCAGCATTTTTGCAAACCAATTCTGGTTTATCCGTTTCATTCAACGAGCCGCTTTCGCCCTTTTTATTCTCTGTCGCTGACACGCTTTTTCCGCCATGTGCGTATGAAAACAAAGGCACGGCGCATGCGCGTTTTACCCATATTCTATCGTGATATTTCATTTTCTTATCATTGCCCGACATCATACCGGTATTACCGTGAACGGTATGATATGGCCCAGCCCTAGTCGGACTGCATTTTAGAATCCATTCGGAAATGGTGGTAATGCCAGAGTTCTCACAAATTTGTTTTCCAGTAGGTGTGCTACTAAGGATTGACATATAGCTGCCATTTAAGGATATAAAAACAAAATGAAAGGAAAGATATAAAATATATATATTAAAAAAAATAGATTAAAAAAGGACACCACAAACTCTTTAGATTTTTAAATGACGGCAGCATTTTTCCAGCAGCTGCAGACAGCAGTCTGTTGCACAGTGTGCTTGCTCAAGTATTGGACTGCAACTGTTAGTTTATTTGTGATATCTCAATAACTTAGCTAACTGGGATATGTAATGGATAAGACTATGTGCTGGTATACTGCAGATTTTAATGGAGGTGCATTGTACATTTACTTTGTTTTTCATGTTTTTTTTAAAGGTAGGTACCTGTTTTCTTAATAGTGTGACTTTATTCTTGCTTCATCATCTGTCCACTATAGACTAAAATAAATAAAACAATGCAGGAAGCAGATTCACTGCAATGGTTGTATCCTCTTCTCCCCACCCTACTCATTCTTCCACATCTTTCCATGTCTTAATAGGCTGTCCTCTCCCCCAAGGCAGATTTGTGGGCTATTCTGCTTTCCTTTCTCTGTTCCTCCATCACAACTGACACACAAAATGCCAAGCAATTCACTCAAGTTGCCCACCATGGAAGGCTGATTGCCATCCCCCTTCTCTCTTGCTGGGTGGCACAGTTAGACCACTTAATATCAATATTCTCTTTGTGGTAGGAGATGTGGGGGCAATTGCCCTGACTGCCAAAATAGTTGTGCACACACACACGCTGACTTTTTCAGGCACGCAAGCCTAGCATAAGCACACACACTGGAAACGCAATAAGTGGGACATAGGCTAAATACAAGAACACTGACGCATACACACAAGTGCACATGTAAACCTACACGCACTGGCAAAATGGGCAGAATGGGGACATGTAGAAAAGGAGTTGCACACACATTTGCTGTAGAGTTAGTATAAGGAAAAGAAAGCCTCCAGTCGCCCATGCAGGCAGACACACACTCATGCAGAAAGCAGATACTCGTCGTCTAAGTGTGGCCTTAGGCTCGCTGAGTGAGGTGGGAGTTGAAACTGAGGACCAGAACACTTTCAGATTTTATTTGGGTTTTTTTTTAATGGCTTGGAAAGAATTATAATGCACTTTACTGAAAGACTGCACCAGTACGGAAACGGAGAACGCAAATGGGGAAGTGATACATTCAAGTAAATTTAAAAATTCATTTGAGGAATTTACAACGTACTTGGAGTCACATCACAGACCACTTATCATAAACATTCAAATTAGCAGTGATATTTGTGGCAGTGAGCCACAGTACCATATGAGCCGAATCAAATCCTAAACTGTCTTTTGCAGTCGCTACATCTCCAACTGCAGAAGTGAGGGAGAGGTTTTAAGCTGCTGACAGTTGCAGCTTGTCTTGTTGTCTGTCTTCTATATTAAGCATGAATACATGTTTTGCTACATTAATAAGGATACCTGTTAACACTGTCATTATTATCAGTTAACATCGGAGATAGCATTAGATGGCGTTAAAGAATTTTAGAAGAGTGTCAATCCATTATATCACTATCTCACATAACATCTTATTTCTGAGTAAAATCCTTGCAGTGAACATGACTCATGTCAGACACTTGAAACTCTCCAGTTTCAGCTGGCACCACCTGAACATATGTACTGTGGGTTTTTTGGGGTTTTTTTGCTTTTTTGGGGGGGGGGGTTGTTTGTTTGTTTTTAAACGCAGTACAAAAAAGAAATTGAACGCTCTCACACAGTCATTAAACTTCATATCCTCATTTTAAGGCCTAGAAATTTTTGCAGGCAAAGTTACACTGCAGTGAAGTGTGTGTGTGTGTGTGTGTGTCTTTTTACGACATCTCAATGTAGAGGATGCAAGTGTGTCATAATTATTTTTTTAAATTGTATATTAATCTGTTTGATTGCTGTAAACACAAAACTGCTGAAGTGATACTCATGCGCTGTCTAATATTACACAGCTGAGGCATGGTACCCCTCCCAGGCAGGTGAAATTGGTGCAATCTCCCTCTGGCTGAATGTTCATGCACTTTGACTCCAACAGTTTCAAGAGATGCCTGCTGATCCTGTGATCATGTTTTTGGCTTTCTTGGAGATTTTTATTTTTACACAAAGAATTACTGTATCTTAAATTGTCTGCCAGGTTCTAATTATTTGCACCTAACCCTTTTATTCCAGTGTGGCAAACTTAAAAGTGTGATAAATTCATGTTAGAATAAGAAGATCTCCTAATAGTTCTGCCTTCAGTCTGATGTGTAGTTTGGTAGATGCAATTTGTATACAAATCTGTCTATAATTTATTGATTAATCCTGGTAACATCATACAATGTCCTTAGCAGAGGTAATAAACAGCACAACTAAAATCCAGTTCCTATATTTCCACTGACTGGACATATTTGATTGGTTAGATATTTAGCCAAGCCTTCACTCTGGACTTCCCCATCATGTCTTGAGGTTTGCATGTTATTCAAACAGAAATGTGTGCTCCTGTGTGGCTCCTGAAGCATCTTAGAAAACACTGAAGAGGCAAGATTATGTGAGAATTTCTTAAATATTATTACAGCCAAATAAAAGGATAATTTTTCTAGATCAGTTTTCATACCATTGGGCACAATGCATGCTGCTCATTAAATAGATTTTTTTTAAAAAAAAGAAAAAAGAAAAAGAAGCATGGGTTGCAAAATTCATGAAGTTGAGTGGTGGCGTGTGCACACACTCACATTTGTCTTTGTTCAATACACAAAACTGTGTCACACGTCTCATGCACCACTGCATCCATTTACTGGTGGAACATCTCCAGTGTGCAGATCTAGAACACGGCAATTGAGAACGATCAAAACATACTCACAAGGCCTGACCTCACACAGAAATGAGCATAAAACACACACTCGCATTTACTGGTGCATGGATATTTTCACAAATGCTCTCTATATGAGGATGCACTGTAGTTGTTATGATAAGCAATCAATGCAAATTACTTTTTTGTGTCACACAAACACATTTCTTCCTTTACGCATATGCACAATGCAGTGTTATTTGCTGTCAAGCAAGTGTATTGTTTCACCGCTGTAGTCTTTGCTCATTACTGCCATGGTTCTGCTCTCATTTCTTTCGTCTCTAGTAAAAGATGCACTGAAAGCTCCGTTTTAGTGCTTTCAAATGATATGAACTTTGACTGAATGCAGGTCACTTCACATAGACACGCTGCTCACAGTGCACACAATGTTATTAAAACTTATGAGTGCATCTGTGAAATAGTATTAAGTGCACAAGTTATAATGTGATTGTTTTAATATGCAAGTAATAAGTAAATATGTATGAGTTAAATTTTCCTTGTAATTTGTTTTGAGATCTTCTAACAGCACCATGAAGGTCAAAAGTCATCCTTAAACCGTTAAGTCTGTCCCTACAGGGAACAGGGTATATAATCTCCCATGTGTGAAAAGCCCTGCTGTTTGTTTGCTCATTTTACTGACAAATGGCTGTAGCTCCAGCCTTCAGTAGTCTGCCTTTGCTGTCCCCAACTTCAAAGAGATCTGTGGTAATATGATTGCAGCTGTACATATTTCATAAGCCTCTAACTGCTGATGAAATACTGAGTAGTAGTGTAAGTTGCAACTGAAAGATTATTTGCTATCCTTCTCACTTTCCCTCCATCCCCTTTGATGTCTATTTCTGGCTAAATATGAGCCTTCTTGTGTGTGCTGCCGATAGCATTTAACGTCCTGAGCCTGTGTGTAAATGTATATTTATAAGACACTGCATGTGTGTTAGGATCATCCACATACATGTCATGTTTAATAACAAGCTTTGCATGCTGATTAACACTGACTTTAGTGTTGAATACCAGCAGCACGAAATGTCAGTGTTTAGAGGTATTGCTCTGAGAGTAGGATATCACTTATCATTTACTTTGCACAGTCAGTATTTTTATGTCAAAGAGCTTTGCATAGATGAAAATACTGGTGTCAACATTTTATTTATGCATTTTTTGTTCTTTTTCTCCTCCAAAGCCTTTTCATCCAATGGTAAACCTGGTGTGCAGTGCTGATCTGAGGATGTTCCTGTGTGCACTATACGCTCCAGTCTGCACTGTGTACGGCCACGTTTCCATGCCATGCCGATCCCTTTGCCAGCGCGCCAAGGATGAGTGCCACAAACTCATGGAAATTTTTGGCGTAGCCTGGCCAGATGATATGGAATGCAGCAGGTATGAATCTGCTATATTTTAAATCAACTTAATACTTAAAGTCTAAAATCTTTCATTAGTCTCCTTCCTTGTTGCACCTTTGTAGACTTGCTGAGATGAGGTACGTCTGACTGAAACTTATGCTTGATTTATAGTCCTGCATTAAATCTACAGCATATAGGCTACAGGGTACAGGTTTAGAGCAATGTCATAACCAGTGTTGGGACTAACAACACACGTTATTAAGTAACGTCATACAGTAACTACGTTATTATTGTGGTAACAAGCACGGTAACTAGTTATTATGCCAAAATCAGGAACGCGTTAGTCGTTACTGGGATTTAGATAGGGTCGTTCCTCGTTACTTTGTGTGGTGGCATCGCGGAGCGTCCACAGATTCAGTAACATTAGCAAGTGGCGGAGACCGGCAGGTGGATGAGGGAAAGGGGAGGTAAGAGGAGAGACCCGAGGCGGCCGCTGGTCCGAGTGAACTTCAGGTAAGAAGTTATGACCTGCAGTCTATCTGGGTCAGATATAAACCAAGGTTAGGGTGAGTTTATTGTCATTATACTATCTAAGGTATGCCATATCCGTACTGCGTACTACCTAGCATGATGGAGTATCTATACAGCTAGGTGGGTGCTATGATGTTGATGTTGAACTTTATTTTGTTCATAAGGTTAGTTAGTAGAGTTGCCAACCGTCCCGTAAAAAACAGAATCGTCTCGTATTCAGAGAAAATATTACGCGTTTCGTATTGAGGTGAAAAGGAACACAGTTTGTCCCGGACTTCAGCTAGAATGGAAAAAGACACAAAGCTGGAGCTGCACAACTGCCTCTTCTTCTCTCATTCTCTCCCCTCTCTCTCCTGTTTCTACTTCAATCATGAAACTGATCAATGATCAGCTTTTCTCTCTTGTTTGTTTATCGCCCACTTTGCGGCAGAAAAAGGAAACCGGCGGATGTCGCGCTATACAACAGCAGCACGTTTAAGCTTGATCAGCTGTTGTTAGAATTTATTTAATATTAATTTCCAGTATCAGCTGATGTTTGCTGGAGCCACAGC